GTGCACATCCCCCTTGCCTCGCTGTTGTAAGTTAAGATGGGGAATATCCAGTGAATATCCTTGTGTCAAGAATTTGGGATTAGGTATCAGGATTAAGTTTATTAAGAACTGTCGTGTTTGTTTCCGAATACTAGGAAACGCCTGAAGGGCCTTCTCTTTTATATTAGTTATCATTGTTTATTTAAGGTGGCTTATAACAGTTTTCCGATGACACCATTGTCTTTTCAAACTTGGACATTTTTTACAACTAAAGGCATTCACTGGACTGAATTGAAGTAATTAAGCTTGTAAAAACATTTTTAATGCGTAGTATAACGCGAAATATAGTGGCCAAGCACCCCAAAAGAGGACTGGAAACTAGATCTGGGCTGGATGGGAAGGCAATGTAATAAGATGACAAGACACCCAAGACACAAGCAATGCCAAAAATTCAGAGGGCAGTCGCAGCGCAGCGCTGGACTTTCTCTACTTCATCAATCGCTAACGGAGGTGTAGCGCTCTATTAAACTTGCTGAATGGAGAGCTCGCCTTCAGTTTGAACACGTAATTGTTTCTACATGAGTCAATCAGGTGGGTATAGAGCGGGCAAGCCAATATTCCTATTGTAGAAGAGAGACGCCCATTAGATATGGAGGAACTCACTTATTTTGTTTGCAGGAAATTACTCTTTTAACTGGTTATAATAATGGGTGATGTCATGAACGAGAAGTGTAGGAGCTGCTTGCAAGGTCTTTCATAATTGGAGGCGGGAAACAAAGACAAGTCATTCTTTTGGGTCAGGGTTAGGCACCACTGGACCCTCTTGAACTAGATCCTTGCGCATGTTAATACTAGGGAACCCACCAACAGGGCTTGTCTTTCAACATAGTACACTACTCTAGCCCAACAATACTACCAAGTGTGGAATAGCTGAACTTTTCTAGCCCGAAAGTGCCTCAAATCTCAACCAATAGATACAGTTGTACCATAACCTACCTAAGGATCAAAGGCTTTGATATAGACAGGGAAAAGTGATTTAAAGGTGGCTTAGTTAACGTCATTTATTATGGTGTGATTTCTTATTCTTAAATTTCTTCACCTTTGGTCGAGTTAACGTACTTCTTCATACCAAAAGCTTCATCGTGCCATGTCCGCTTTAATTTTGAGTATTAGGCGGTTCTGGGCGAAAGGGGGAAGAGATAAGGTTGAGAAGGCCTGATACTCAGTCTACGTCTGCTTATATACTGGTCTGTCAACATACAAGAACAACAACAACAATAAGCTTTATTTTCACAGCCATAAAAAGTTTCAGCTTCAACAGAATTCCATCAGTCATTAACAGAGCTGAACAGAAACAGAAACTCCAAACTTTTCATTCAAAACGTTTTTATCACCTACAAAGCCAGTTCAAATGTTTACAGTTTTTATTACCAATATATCGTGAAATGAGGTTTTTAAAATTACCTTGACGCGTTACTTCTCTCATATATTTTTACTGACGTCAAACGTGAATTTGCACTTCTCTCATAACTCCTTTTGCTTAAATGACCGATTCAAATCACTCAGAAACCCTCTTTAACCTCTTCTTCCCACAACAAAGAATGACGGGGAATTGACAAAAAGGATGAATTTGATGCATACGGAAGTTACAGGAACTTCTTCCGACAACTACTATTTATAACGAATGCGTTACTTGTTGTACTCAGTTACCCATGTTCTCCATTTATTTTAAGTGTAAAAGCGTATTTACAAGCTCCCAGGAAGTCTTAGCCATGTCCAAGGGTGACGTCACACACAACAGAGCTTCGAGTTCCTCTCTTCGACTTTTCGTCGGGGACAGCTCTCAATCACCGACACTGTCCAAAAGGATCCAATCGAAACTGTGGGGACGAGAATACTGCCTGGCCCTTAGCCTGAAACATTGCAATCGTTAATTTGAACAGTCTTTCATCCCTTACAGTAAAATACTCAGGGCCCTGGCTTGCCTTTCGTGGAATGTTTGAAATAAGAAGAAGTGTGTGTTTTTCCTTCATGGAAAGTAGCCAATCTAGATGATGTCTATTTTTCTTTCGTGAACAGTGGTTGTTAACTTGATAACGCGATTTCCAATTCTTTTTTTTCGTTTAGTATTTTTAACTTCGCGGACACCTGTGACTGTTTTTTCCTCCTTAACGCATAATTGTTATCTTTGCAAATTTTTGAGTCCGTAACGTAATTAAATAAGGCTGTGATATTTTCTACCGATGGCGTCACTATAGTGGCTTCTATGAGGGAGGTGACACAGAAGAGAAGACAAGTCTCGTGATTAGTCCATGGGCCATCTACAGGATGTGCGCCTTGCAAGGACAAATACTCAGCGCTTTTTCTTTTCTTGTACGGTGATGGACGCTCACGCTTACGTTTGAGTTGGGTAGGACTGGATACTGTTTTTTCATTACCCCTTTTAAGTTTCCTCATGTTAGAACTTCCACAGTTAAAGCAGCTGCACTCTAACCCACATTCTTGGTTCACACGCAAACATGGGCATTTCGACTTCCTAGGGCCATCTCGGCAGGAAACGTACTTATTATCGTATTTTACTTTGTTGTGGCCACATTTGCAAGATACTTCAATAGTGTATCCAAGTTCACTCGTAGAAGAGCAAGCAGCCTGCATGGTTGAGTTTTGACACCTTTTGCATCTACAATTGCGGGAACAAAAATGTCCCGAAATCACGCAGGGATAATGGCTGTGTCCTTTGTCGTCCTTTGTACAAGACGCCTTTTGGCCATCCTTGGCATTGTTCTTTCCACAAGAGCATACTTTATTGGTAGTTTTTGAGTTAAGTCCTTGGAAACAGAAAAAACAAAACAAAAAAAAGGTGAAATTAGTAAAGGGTGAAAGCCTCAGGGGCACCCAACAACTGTCTCCTTTAAAGTACGTTGGAAACACTTTTTACGCTGTCCAGAGTTTTCTTTTCTGCGCCCTAGAAATGCATTCTAAGCGGCAATACAAAATTGTTATCGTTTAGGTCATTAGAGTTTCCCACAAGCAGGCCACAAGTTGCTCGGCAACTTTTCGGCAACTTCTCGTATTTCGAACAACTTCTTTCCTATATAGCAACTATTGGCTTTTTTATTAAGATTTCTCTAGAACTTTGTCATCTAACTCTGTGATATCGGAGCAGCTCTTAGTGTTTAAATTAGTCTTTGTTCCATATTTCACAATGTTTTGTATACAAGTTGCAAATTACCAGTAGAAAAAGGAGACAAATACTCCTCCCTGAGGCACATTAAGGGCGCAAGATAAGTCTGCGGTCTTTACAGAAAATTTTAAATGATTGACGCAGATTCTCACTCGACTGACTCGAGTGTCTCGGGTGAAGAAAGTCATTAAGCATTTTTCTTGGCTCATTACATTTCTTTCTTGATTTTAACTCCGGACAAAGTTATTAAGCAAAGCTGGTTGCGCTGAAAAATTGCACAAAAATGCTAAGAAATGGTACTTTTGTTTGTACAATTTGCATATTTTCATAACTTCAGACCAAACAAACATTTTGTTTTTCGAGCAACTTTTGAGTAAGTTTTGTTGCAATAAGCAACTTTTGATTGTTTTTGGCAACTTTTGAGCATTTGTTTGAGAAATAATGAGAAACTTTTTGGAAAATCTCGAACAACTTATGGAAAGCCCTACCGGTCTGACCGGTCATCCTGGAGGAACTTAAGTCAGTTTTCAAAATTACAAAGGCTTCAGTGTTACTTTTTCGAAAATTTTAGTTGCAATTTAACGATTTACGAAAGTGATGATTTTTCTGGTTACCTCTCCCCATCACATTTTAGAATCCAAAAAAATAAAATAAAAGAAAAATATTGTAACGTGGGAACTGATTTTGAAACATTAAAAATCAGAATTCGTAGGGAATTTATTCGGTATAAAGCATCGAAAATTGTTTATGAATGGAAGGTCCATCTAGAAATTTTTAGTCTTCCTCAAGCAAAAGAAAATTCTTGGCAATATTTGCTTCTCCGAACAGATATTTCGCAGAAAATTGTCTTTGGGTGCCCCTGGTAGCCTCGCCGGGTCAATTTTGTGCAATTGAGCATGGGACACCCCAGTCGTAAGAACAAGAGCGGTCGCGTAAAAAGATAAAAGCTAGAAAATATTTCTATATATCACTAACTTGATCAAATGTGTGTGAACCTTGACGTTCCTTTCATAAGCTTGTGCAAATCGTACTTTGTAGAAGGTTCCATTCAGGACTCACATACCTACATTTATATTCTATATATTCTCTCGCCCATTAAATCGACCGTAGTTTATATTAATCCCTTTGAGTATGGACTCGGTTTCACTGGCTTACTCCTAATAATCCTCCAAGTTTGGTCGATTGACTAGATCGATAAGCCCGTTGAACCCGAAATAATGCGAAATAGCTTTGAGGCCCGCTTAAGCTAATTTTCGGCAAAAATGTATACTCAACAGCTTTCGTATTTTTATTCATCAAATTTTTATAATACGCATTGGCCACTCTGCTGCTAAACGATCCCATGAACCTCATATTGCTGGGTCTAGATTCCTTCATGTTGCGGTGCAGCGGCACTTGAAAGTGAGACTACTCGATATGAATGCTTGGAAAATTGGCTGGAAGGTAGAAAGGAATCTTTACAATTCCTTACACCACTGGACGCCCCTACTAAGTCTGCTACAGCTACTACAGGTACTACAGGTACTACACCTACTACAGCTACTACACCTACTACAGACACTACAGCTACTACAGTTACTACACCTACTACAGCTACTACAGTTACTACACCTACTACAGCTACTACAGGTACTACACCTACTACAGGTACTACAGCTACTACAGCTACTACGGCTACTACAGGTACTACAGCTACTACAGGTACTACAGCTACTACGGCTACTACACCTACTACAGGTACTACAGGTACTACAGCTACTACAGCTACTACAGGTACTACAGCTACTACAGCTACTACAGCTACTACAGCTACTACAGCTACTACAGCTACTACAGCTACTACAGGTACTACAGGTACTACAGCTACTACAGCTACTACGGCTACTACACCTACTACAGGTACTACAGCTACTACAGCTACTACAGCTACTACAGGTACTACAGCTACTACAGCTATTACGGCTACTACAGGTACTACAGCTACTACAGCTACTACACCTACTACAGGTACTACAGCTACTACAGCTACTACGGCTACTACAGCTACTACAGGTACTACGGCTACTACAGGTACTACAGGTACTACAAGTACTACAGCTACTATCGCTACTACGGCTACTACAGCTACTACAGCTACTACAGCTACCACAGGTACTACAGCTACTACAGCTACTACAACTACTACGGCTACTACAGGTACTACAGCTACCACAGGTACTACAGCTACTACAGCTACTACAGCTACTACAGCTACTACGGCTACTACAGCTACTACAGCTACTACAGCTACTACAGCTACCACACCTACTACAGGTACTACAGCTACTACAGGTACTACAGCTACTACAGCTACTACGGCTACTACAGGTACTACAGGTACTACAGGTACTACACCTACTACAGGTACTACAGGTACTACAGGTACTACACCTACTACAGCTCCTACGGCTACTACAGCTACTACAGGTACTACACCTACTACAGGTACTACAGGTACTACGGGTACTACAGCTACTACAGCTACTACAGCTACTACAGCTACTACAGCTACTACAGCTACTACAGCTACTACAGCTACTACGGCTACCACACCTACTACAGGTACTACACCTACTACACCTACTACAGCTACTACAGGTACTACAGGTACTACAGCTACTACAGCTACTACGGCTACTACACCTACTACAGGTACTACAGCTACTACAGCTACTACAGCTACTACAGGTACTACAGCTACTACAGCTACTACAGCTACTACAGCTACTACAGGTACTACAGCTACTACAGCTACTACGGCTACTACAGCTACTACAGCTACTACAGGTACTACAGCTACTACAGGTACTACAGGTACTACAGCTACTACCGCTACTACGGCTACTACAGCTACTACAGGTACTACGGCTACTACAGCTACTACAGGTACTACAGGTACTACACCTACTACAGGTACTACAGCTACTACAGGTACTACAGCTACTACAGCTACTACAGGTACTACAGGTACTACAGGTACTACAGGTACTACAGCTACTACAGCTACTACAGCTACTACAGCTACTACAGCTACTACAGGTACTACAGGTACTACAGCTACTACAGGTACTACAGGTACTACAGCTACTACAGCTACTACAGCTACTACAGCTACTACAGCTACTACAGCTACTACAGCTACTACAGCTACTACAGCTACTACAGCTACTACAGCTACTACAGCTACTACAGCTACTACAGCTACTACGGCTACTACAGCTACTACAGGTACTACAGGTACTACGGCTACTACCGGTACTACAGGTACTACAGCTACTACAGGTACTACAGGTACTACACCTACTACAGGTACTACTACAGGTGCTACAGTTACTACAGCCACTACAGGTATCATTGTGTCTACTAGGGTACAGCCACTACAGCACTGACAGTGGTGGGCGGTGGCCCGGGACATTTTGGGCAGTCTTACACCAAGTACTACCCCGCCATGTTTTCTTGTTTCCCAGGCTTCCACGCGTGCCTTTGGCACATGCGCGATTTGATTTACTTTGTTACGTGCCACTTTTGAACCAATAGAAAAGTGCCAAATGAACTTCCGTTGAATAGTTCAAATTCACGCGGACTTCACAAGCAACAAAGTATTTTCGTAAGACTGTTATCCATGTTATTTTCGAGACAAAGTGATCAATTGCGAAGTTTGTGTTCACATAAAGCATGTTTGCAAGTGAGTTTACTCTGCTGGATTAATGTGGAAAGGTATGTTTTCTAATAACTTTGCGTAAATAAGCTTATAAAGTTCAAAGATGCATGCAAAGATATGCCATTGATCAGATCCCTTTTTGCTGCTTTTTGTTTACTGCAGATCGAAATAACTGTACTCTTTGTTGCAAATAGTCAGTGGAATACTCTGAAAACTGTATGTTCTGGCGCTACAAGGTTATTATAACCTTGCTATTAGCAGACTTGTCAAGACCAATGTTAGATAAAATAGGAGAAGAAATAGCATAATAAGTATAAGTTTCCAATGGCTACTTATACAGGTTAGAAGCGATGAAATTTCCAGTTAATTTATAAGGACTTGAGACTTGAACTTACATATAAAATATTAGAATACAGCCGGTAGGTTTGTTCATTTGAACTTTAATTCATAGTATATTTAAGTTGCATAAGGTTTTATATTAAATACTTCTGGTACATGTAATCTTAATAATCGCTGCAATAGTAAGGTCAAAAACAACTAGCACAAGCACTAGCACTTGCCTGATGTGTGGACCTTCAGTTCAGAAGGCTGCATCGGCGACGTTGGAAAAAGCAGTCATTTAGCTTTTTTTCATATTCATGCACTGTATTAATAATTAATAATCGAAGATGTTTATTTACATGCATGTATGTGGAATGTGGTGATGTGTATGTTGGGTAAAATAAATTACGAAAAAGAGAATGTTCAGCTGATGTTGTCATTTGGATTAAAAACAAACACTATCTATAGATTCCACCAACAGGGTATGTTTTTATATATATTTTTTCAATCATGACTAGGTATATGTTACTTTACATTATCTCACTATCTAGAGATTCCACCTGAACAGGTTGTTTTACTTTTTTTTCAATCATGACTGTAGCGATAGTTTACTTTACACTACATGTATATCTATGTGTAAGTATATCTATATCTAAGTTTATTCATATGTATATAAGGACTACAGTCATTATACTGAATTATTTGATTCCTACTTCACAAAAAGTCTTTGTCTTAAATTTGATTTTTTGAGGTCACTGTTGTAATTTTTGGAACATTTAAACGATCAGTGCAGTGAAATTTTTAAGTCAAGTTAAAGCAGAAGAAGTATTTTTTGTTAACATGGAGAGCTATTTTTCAGTTATTGCTGGAATAAACATTGTTTCAGTTTTTGTAGATTTGCCTTATGGATTTCTGGTTTGGGGAGCAAAATAGCAACTTCTAGTACTAACTTCCTTAACATAAGGGTTTAAATGCAAATCAGTTTTTGATTCGAATATCCCTTAATTCCGGCAGCAGGTCGATTTGTTACATCCCTATTGACCTAGCTATTCCAAGGAATTCCTAGGAAATTCCTAGGAATTCCTAAGAAGTAATCATTCTGTTTATATTCTTTCAATTCCTAGGAATTCCTAAGAATTCCTAGGAATATTTTCCAAGCCAACTGATGGGTGAGCAAAGCTT